AAAGTTCGGGGGTCAATAGGGTTAGTACTATAGTACAAATAGGACAAGAAGAACTAGGAGTAGTAGTAGTAGTAGTAGTAGTAGTAGTAGTAGTAGTAGTAGTAGTAGTAGTAGTAGTAGTCGCAGCAGCAGCAGCAGCAGCAGCAGGAGTAGTCGTTGTCCTCGTCGTATCATTAGAAGTCGTTGGCAGCAATTTTAGCAACTTTCGCAGTAGCAGCGGCCCTGGTCCAGCACATAGACAAGTTCTCAGCACTTGAGTATCTGAACAACGCGTGATCAGCAGCAGCCACAACAAAAACAGAGCTGACGATCGTGATGATGCCCACCGTCGGCGTCATTCCAACCACCGCCATTGTTATCATGACCATTATCGCCGTCATTTACATCGCCAGCCGAGTTAAGATCGCATCCTTGCCACATCATCGTTCGCAGTGCTGCTATCGTCATCGTCTTCCTCCTCGTAGTCAGCACCATCGTGGCGCCCGCTTTCATCAGTAACAGTAGCGTCTCCGTCGTCGTGCCAGTGTAAGGCGTGCCCTGCCATGTTGTTCATGATCTAAGCGCCGAGCTACAGCGTCAGGCCTCGATGGGACAGGTTTTCTGTTGTATTTCTTTGCATGTGTGTTATTAGCAACCCGGGTGTGCTTTTTATCCAGAGATTCCTATTGCTCAGATTTCTCGGTTCATAGTTCGGGTCCTAAGCTTTTGAGCGGTTGGGGTGTCCCAAGATCTTCGAGAGCAAGACAGGGTCTTTGCCATCTACTCGTCTGTGAAGACGACAGAGGCAGTATCGGGTCCGATGATTATCAGCAATTTAGCAGCAGACTTGGGGTGTCCTCGCCGTGGCTTTGCCGGCCAACTTCGGCCGACCTTTGTTCTCACAAAGTTGTTTAGTCTGCAAGTCCTGACTGAGCTAGGAGATGACTATAGATGAGCCGTGCCTGAGGAGCTGCCCAGGCTTGTACCCCGTCTTGCTAGACAAGGATCCTTAAGAATCATTAGCTGTAATTTCTTATCTTTGGGTTGATAATGATAAGCAGAGAGGCTTATATAGGTGCTGCTGCAGTCGAGGCTGATGGTATTGACGATGCCAGCAACTGGCTGCCAGGGGTGATTCAGGTCAAAAGCTCGATCGCTTAGGCACAACATGCTGAAACCGTCACGGGGAATGCGGTCCATGGCACGCAGGCTTGCTGATAATCATGACATATCCTGATACTTGCCTGTGGTTGGGTATGTTGCAAGCCTGGACTGAAAAGGCCGATGATGCCCACCGTGACTCGAACCGTATCAGCCTTGTCAACAAGCAAAGCTCTGAATGCCGGAATCCTGGCGCCAGATGCCCTACGAAGGCGAGCCCGCCGGGGGGGGGGGGGGCTTTTGGGGTTCCTTGCATTGTTCCCGGTTCG